GTGGGTAGGTGGTGTGTTGTTCACAACAAATAACAAAAATGAAGTAAATAGAATATTGTAACACAATTATGGAACATTCGACGCGAAACACTGTTTGAGGGCACGAATAAATCTTTTCACTCTTGACAAGATCTCGTGCCATTCCCGTGTATATCAATTAAACAACACAACGTATAGAATATATAAAGTATTCAAATATTCGAAAAACACCGAATAACGTGTGCTTGCGACTGAATACAGAACAAACATTCATACAGAACACGAATAAACGCATAATTTAGTGAATGAAAAGAACCACAAATAATGGACAGCAAAAACATTCGACGTTTTGTTCAATTCAATACAGGTGGATACGCAATACCAAAGGATACATGGATTTGGTGTAACCTGTGGAATGTTCATATGGATGAGAAACATTGGGACAAACCAGAACAGTTTCGTCCAGGTATATATCGAATGTCATCACATCACTTCCAACTAACACTTGATATTACATGTTGCATATTTTCTCAATTTGTTTTATGGTTTTATTGGTTACAGCTGTCCATGAACATATTTTCTCTGTCAGAATATCTATACATTAAATGTGCGTTATAAGCGCTAATATTGAAATATATAAAATTGAGGTTAAAACTGCCAAATATCATTTGGGTTTATATTATTCATAATGCATTCCAAACTGAACATACAGTTTAATTTTAACTTCGTCTAATTAATGCTCTGTGATGAGTGTTGTTTAGTGTGTCTGCTACCTAAGGAATTTCTAGTAAATGTCCCCTCCATGTTTTTTTTGTCCAAAAGTTCAATAACACAAAATGAGTGCCAACTATCGCCAACACATGGACATCTTTCGCATAGCGATTGTAGCATCTGACCCATGATAGGCAGACAGCACTTGTACTTGCTTGCAAACTTCACATTTAAACAAATTCAATTCTAAGGCAACTGACACAGAAGTAATTAAATACAAAAAATGAACCAACAAAACTATTTACACGGAGAAAATAACTGACAACAAGTACACAACACTACATAATCAAATCAGTCACAGATATATGAACACATAGTATACATGATGAAATGATATCAGGTGAAAATAATTGTTTCAATATGTTTACCCAGATCATAAATATCTAGAATATATGAAAACAAATTTAAAAATTTAAAAGAGACATTCATGAACAGCCAGTAAACAGTATCATTCTGGTTTATTTTTAGAACGATTCTTGGATGCAGATGGAGCATTGCTGCCTCATCCGGACAGTTTCATTCCGTTTTCAGCAGGACGCAGAGTGTGTATGGGAGAAGCATTGGCTAAGAATGAATTATTTCTCATTTTCACGAGTTTGTTTCAAAACTACACATTCAAGGTACCACCTGGGAGCAAGAAGCCGTGCTTAAAGGGACACTGCGCTGGTTTGGTCTTACGATGCGGTTCGTATGAAGTTATTGCCGTTGAAAGAAGCAAATGAATATAAATACTTGTTGGTGAATAGTTTGATACTAGTCATACCAGGAACAACGTGTTTCAAAACATTAACGTTGCTGTTGATTTTTAACCTTAATTATGGGATAACTCCGCAACATACTACTAACGTTTATATCGTGCATTAGACTTAGGAATGTTCAATATTTTTATTACATACTAATAAACTGTAAACATATATAATATACCGTATGTTTTGTTTCATTTGGTATCTAGTTCACGTAAATAACATAGTCTGAAGCAAATAAATATTATTTTAAATGAAATGAAAATATCACCAGGAAAACAGTCCCACTTAAGGTAGAGACGCAGTTTATCGGACAGGTATTTTAATTAGTTAATTAGGAAACCATGATGACCTCCCTTGTCCAAAAAGCTATATATTTTCGGAAAGCTTATTATATGAATTTAAAGTTTTGTTAGTATTTTATTTTTATGGACACTGTAGTTTGAAATATGCACAAAAATGTGTTTTGTTGGTCAAAAGTGATTAAAAAAAATTAACTTCTAAACCATGCTTCTGTTTCCTCTCAAAATTGGTTTATGGGTACATCTGTTTACTATGAAGAAAGCGCCGTCTTGAAAACTGTCTACCAGTTGTCAATTTTGTAGGACAGCAGCTCAAATTTCACTACTTCAAGTTTATGCATAAATTAACACCCAGGCTAGTTGTCTGTACGATTGCTGTAACACTATTCAACTAAAAACAATGTCCCGACGGCGTTTTGAAGATAAACACATTGTCAATCATTTGTGAAAATTTCAAAACAAAAGGTCAAAGCGTCTAGGAGCTATTTTTTTAAAGTTCTGGAATGTGCACTAAAAAGAAGCTGAGATAATTGCTAATTTGCATAACAATTCACTCAGTAAGAAGTTTGCTAATGCTCATAATTAAAGTGGCTGTTACAGTTTCAAATTTAAATGTATTATCGTTTTGTAAAAAGTTAAATACAGTGCATAATATGGAGATCCCGTCATTTCTTTTCTTCACCATGTTTTTTTTTATTATTTATCACCTATTTAACGCTTCTTCTATTACCAGGTAGTTGGTTAAAATCCGTGTATGCGTTGAATTTATGTAGCCAGTTTGTAGCATTTTCTGATTAAATGGTATCGGCGCGATTCCTATGTTGATGGGTGCGGGACAATTTTGTAGTTCCCACACGACTTCTTGAATTTCCTCTACAGCATGTTGTGTCATTCTTCAGTCACCTGCAATTGATCGCGTCATCTGTCCAAGATGCTCGGTTAGAACTTCACGTACACCTTCCATCATTTGCGTTCGTTTTCTTGTTATCATTAATTTCTTCACAGAGATATAATGGTGTGTTATACACAATGTCTGAGGTTGTCCATCATGTATAACGGTTTAATTATTGTCTTATTAAACGTTACGTCAGGTATCTGGGATTGTCACGTTCGCAACCATTCTAACCAAGACAAACACAGAGACAGAATTCATGTCAACTTCTAGTCCCAGTCGCTCGTGGTAGTCCTGCTTGTAGGACCACCTTGAACTTGAGCTTAGAGGTCAACTAGAGGTCCCAAAGGTCATACATTTTAACATTGTGATTTGATGATATTTCGATTATTCATATTCATTATATTATCACATAATCCATTTTAAACAGACAATAAAGTATTTGTATACTGTAACTTGAATTCTTTTGATAAGAACAATATTTATGAAATTTAATTTATTAAATTACCGCATATAAAACAAAAGTTTGGAATTAACGTTGTATCAAAGCATTTCATTTAAATATGTTTTTAATACTATAATAGATTAAGTTGTTGTCAATGTAGTTTATAACACATTGACCTTAAGACGAACAGCGCCATCTAATGTATATAGGTTCAATTGTTGAAGAGTGTAATTCCCAAGTCGCCATATTTGATTTTACATGCATGTTTATAAACGCTGGTAAACCAGGTAGAAACACCAATTTTCAAGCTGGCAGACCTAACACAGGACTACTGTACTATATTAGAGCAGTTGAGTGTGAAACAGAAGCAACGAATGCACACAACCAGATTGAAAGACAAGCTGTTAGCACATATCCTAGATCTCTCGGCACACCCTGAAGGCCGTGACGTGTTGCTAGCATTTGATGATGATATTGGCCAAGTTCTCTCTGATGCATTTCACAAAAACAATGATTCTGACGCAGTGACTCTTGCACAAATAGTACGTCATAAACTATTTACAGAAACATAATTATTCAATGGTATATTCCAACCAGACTTTCAACATAAGTCAGTACACACATCACCCCTAGCACTAGTAAATATGGTTCTTGAGGGTCCCAATATAAAATATCAAGCAGCTAATCCAAATACCCAAGCAGCACTAACAATAGCTCAGTTAATGAAGTTGCAAAGTGTGAAGCACGTGCGCATAGAAGCAAGTTTTATAAGGCATCTGAAAAGCTGTGAAATACCTTTGCCATTGTACATAGGAACCATGAGTCATGCAAAAAAACAAACAAAAAAAAAACGAGCATTGATTGACAGACTTTCTGAACTGGGCATTTCTGTGTCATATGACAGAGTTGTCTGCTAACCTGGCAAATGCTGTATGTGAGCGCTTTGCAGAGCACCAACTTCGTGGAGGTGTATTTGCAACAGCGACTGTCGATAATATTGACCACAATCTCTCATCAACAACTGCAACAGGCTCCTTTCATCGTACCGGAATCTCATTGATACAGCATCTGAGTGTCAAAAGCAAGATAACGAACTCATCATCTACAAAATGTGCGAGTGCATTTCCTGCATCATATACAAATGTACCTCCTGTATCATCTAGATCAACATACCCTAGTGTACCTTCCATTTGTGACTGCACAAATGGATTACCAACCTATGATAGAGAATTATATAAAGGAAGAAAACGAATGGCTTGATTATGTTTGAAACAAGACAGAGCATTGCACTACTACGAATCTGAAGGAAATTGACAACAATGGCACTGAAAATGTGGATCCGACTGAAGATGCACATACATTATCTTGGTCTTCCTATCATGCCGCTCATCAGACACAGGACATATTGTGCACACTCAATCGGAATGAGTCGTCATTCAATCATGGTAGTACAAAAGGCTGTGAAACGTCTCAATCCAGGATAAATGTATGTTATTACATGCAATCAACCACTATTTGCCCAGACAAAAGAAGTACAATGGACTTGGCCGTTGATCAAAGGCGAAGACTGTCCGGTAGCTATGATGGTTGGGCTGCATTTAGAAATGGCTGCTTTAAAAGCTATGAGTGGTTGGACAGATATAGTGGTTCTTGCAGAGGTTACCACACCTTGAATGGCAGATTCTTCCTTACAAGCTTCCCATGTGACACGTACAAGATATGCCCACCAGATCACTGCTGCATGTCTTTGTCAACTTCAATACCAGGCTTACAAGACCTATCGTGTGTCTGATCCAACTGGAGTAGCAGTAACTTTTTCTTCCTGGTGCAGTGAAAGAGCTAAAGAAAATCTACAATTTCTCTATTGGAGCCTGACTCTTGAAATGGAGCTTCCCATAATGACTTTTGTTCGATCACTAAGAGAATCAAAGTTTGCATTATACATAGCAGCACTTACTGAACTTGTCCCATTGATGTTTGCCTTGGACAAGACAAATTATGCCGCTGGTTACTAGTACATATCAGAGATATAGTTCAACTACCAACAACGCACCCTTCTGTTCATGACGAATTTAAGAATGGCAAGCGCACAGTACAAAAGACCACACATATCTTTTCTGTTATTCCTATAAATCAAGCCCATGAACAAAACAATTTAATTGGTGAAGGGTGATGGTGGAGCCATAGGTCTTACTGGTGGCGGGACCTGAACTCTCCAGGATTGTACGTGAATTTGAGGAAGGGAACAAAAATGATGAAGAAGAGAAATTGCCACATCACGATCAATCTAAAGCAAGCCAAGATCGATTCAAGAAACATGTTTGTTCTCTAATTAATGTTGTACATGAGGTGAGCAACCTCTCACTAGAAGAAAGGGCAGATATTATCTTATTAGCATCAAGTGATATTGCTGATCCATCAGTTCCAACAACTGTAAATAAGATAAGATTAATTGG